TTTAGTTTGGAGAAAAGAAGGTTCAGGGCAGACCTTATCTCTTCTCCCAGGCAACCAGGAAGGACAGAAGGAAATGGCCTCAAGTTGTGCCAGGGGAGGTCCAGGTTGGCTATTAGGAAGAATTTCCTCACTGAAAGAGTGGTTAAATGTTGGAACGGGCTGCCCAAGGAAGCGGTGGAGACACTATCCCTGGAGGCGTTCAGGAAACAAGTAGACTTGGCACTTCACAATATGGTTTAGTGGGTATGGGGGTACTCAGTCAAATGTTGGACTTGATGATCTTGGAGGTCTTTTCCAACCTTAATTTGATGATTCTCTTCTAAGTGCACAACACATCTTCGTGTGTGTCAAGTCATGTTCAGAAGAACACACTTTCTTACATTTAAGTGTCTCACTGCAGGATGGAAACATTGATGGGTGCTTTGCTGCTGACACAGGGATGCTCTCAGGACCAGAACCAACCTTCAGTGCTCTTTTGCGAGCATGTGGAGGGGGAGGAGGAAGCCCAAAGCCTTCCAAACCGCAACAGGCTGCTCCAGCTTTGTTTCCCACACCTCAGACTACAGCTCTCCTCTGAGCAACTGTAACGGACGGAGGACACCTAGTGGGGTTTTGCTCAAACACCAACACCACAAAACCTCTTCCATCAGAAAACGATTCACTAAAAAGCACTACTATCACACAGATCTTTTTTTTTTTTTTTTTTTAATTCATTTGTTGATGCTACAGGAAAAAATCCCAGACTGTTTTCCCAAATGTTTTCTAAGCCTGGTCACGGCACCACACACTGCTTCCGTTTCTTTCCTTTTTCCACATTCTTTGACTAACCTGGTGTTTCTCAGTTTGAGGTCAACAGATCTCTGCCACATTCTGAAAGTGTTTCATGCCCTAAACCCACCAGAAGAGTCAATTGCCATTAGCAAGGTCATCAGCATTACTGGCTAGAAGGGCTCCTTGGCCAGTACAGCTCCAAACTACGGGACAGCAACCAATAATTTAAACTGGGTGCAGGCAGAACTTTTCACTTTTACCCATTTGTAATGACTAGAATATTATGCTATCAACAGTAAAATAAATATTTTCAAAATCTTATTGTTGACTCACTAATATATTGAGTGCAAATATGCTATCAACGCAGTTGGCAGAGTTTTTACAGTGGGCACTGTAAAAAATCAGTTCACAATTTCTATTTTATTGAACAAGATGAATATGTTGTAGGATGTACTCTGATCCTTGACAGATTTTTTGGGGGGGAGGGGGTCTAAAGCCCTTCTGTCCTCTGGATTTCTCTAAGCTGAGCCTTTTGGTTTGGATTACTGCACCTGTGTGAATTCTTAAAAAAAGCCAAAGTTAAATGCTGTGTGTCTCTTTGGGATTCTCAGTCCATCTTCTGCTTTAGTCCTGGAACTGAGCTTTTATTAGACCAGAGCTCTGGAAAAGCTATTTCCTGTTGTCAGCTCCTCCAGAGTATTGATTTGGAGCACTATCTGAAAACATAAAACATGAGCAGGTAAACTAACTTTATCCACTTCATTGCAGATTTAGCTAAAGAAGAAATATAAAGAAATCCCCAGACAGCCCCTCTTCAGTACACTCAGTACTTCAGCTACTGAATGTGCTGAGTACCCACACTGTCCTTTCATGTCTCCAGGTAGGTCTTGCAATGATTGATAACTCAGCCTATGCTCCAGCCTGCCCCTTAATTGCCTTAAATACCTGTTTCATCATATTCCCCCCGCTGGCTCCCAAGTTTGAGAGGCAGACAAAGCCAGGCAACAATGTTTGATGGCTTCAAAGTAAAATAGAGTCAAACAGAGACAGGAGAACCTCTTCCCACCCCTCCCAATCAAAGCTAAACATACTTCTGAAACATGCTTTGAGAGGGAATTGACTGGGAAGGGCCATTTATCCTCCTGTCTCTGATGGTAACACAAAGCCAACAGCTCCCCAAAAAAGCAGCACAAGCCTGAAACGGGTCAGAGAATGTGGTGAGGGGGAAGATGAATTGAGAAGGAGCCTTAATATAGTATAATGACAGAGATAGTTTCAGATATCTTCCTAGTATGAAAAACTACATGAAATTGGTAACTGAACCACTATTTAGTCTCTGTCTGGGTGAATTCACCAGATGTGCAGGACAATTGACTGGTATGAGATAGTACTGTTAGGTTTTTATTGTGTGAAATCAAATTGCCTTCATTTTAAGCTTAGTCCCAGAGTATAGAGAGGGTAAAAAAGCACACACACACTGATCACAGCAGTACAAGGAAGGGACTGAGGTGATGGGATGAACCACCACCTTGGTTTGCACACTAAGCCCTATGGCTAAAAAGCAGGGTCACCTCTCTGACTACCAGGCAATCTGGAGATAAGGACACTGCTCCTTTGGAGAGTTCAAGGATGACGCACATCCCATTCACTTGGGCACTAGGTCAGCCTTTCTGAATGAGATTTCCCTCCTGCCCACGCTGTGTTTGGTGCTCTTACTGAATGAACTTCCATTATCAGATAAGAGCTGGATACAGGCTCCATTGTTCCCCCAGTTCTTCACTTCTTACCCAGAGATTTGGGTTACACTGAGTGCGCAGTTCATGCTAGGACACTCTCTGGCCATCCATCCAGAATGATAGGCTATGAAATTCAGAGCTTCGACACAAAAAGCAGAGGTAAGATGAGCTGCCAGATCATGAATTAATACCTCTCCACACTGTTGAACACAGTGAACCCTGAGCATGGAGCTGTTTCTCTGACTAGACATGCCTGTTCCTGACGTGCTTCTGTGCTGAGAGAGGAGTCACAGCAGTGAGTTATCACCGGTTTTCTTCCCAGCACCAAGGGACACCATCAGCTGTGTGACAGGAAAGCTCACCTATAATTACACTCCAATGCAAAACCAGACATCTGCTGGGTTATCTCCTTTTCAGTGCTGTCAGTTGCCATCTAAGACTTTGTTCAGTGTTCATAAAACACCTCTGACACACAAACTTGTACTATCTTCCTCTTTGAAGGCCAGGACTTTTCCAAACTCTTGGTGTTAGGCTTGAGGGTCCCTTCGGGGAAAGGGAGCAAGCCTTGCCTATTTCCTTGTTCTGAGCAAGCAATGAATCATCATTTAAACAATATTGCCTCATAAACAGACAGTCACAGGCTGATAAACAGTCACAGCCTCTGCTTTTTCCCTGAGCCTTGTGGATCCTCCCTAAGCATCTCCCTGGCACAGGGCAGAGACTGTGCAGGCACTACCCTGGACCTGAAAAGTTCTGTGCACTTCAAATGTTTATCATGATAAAGGAAGATTATCAACAGATAAGGAGCTGGGGAGGAGAAGATTAGCCTAGAAAAGACCATGAACACAAGGTAGACTTGATGGTTGAAGATTTGAGTCTTCCTGTGCTTGCAGTGGGTATAGGTGACCTATAATCTCCCCTCTGCATCCATCCTCAATCCCATGGGGTTTCATCATCAAGAAACTCTCCCAACAGGCTGTTTTCTTCTTCTTTACAATGCTTCCCTACCTGGCTTCAACATTTAAGGGTGTTGCCAGTTCTTATGATTTTATCACAACTGCCCCACATTGCTGTTCTTTTAATTAAAACCAGAACTCCCAAAGGCAAGCTACTATGCAGGAATCTCAGGTTTCATTTAACAATAATAATAATAATATTCAGATATCTCCAGATGCCAGAAATGCTACGGAAGAGCTTGGAAGTGAAAAAAAAATGTATTTTAAAGATTAACAATGTAGAATGAGAAAACCAAACTTTCTAAAAGTGAGAACAAGACTGTTCACATTCCAAATCTTTTTTTTCAAATAAAATAATTTTCCCCCACTTGGAGGGAATAAAAGGGGATGAAGCTTGAGTCAGTGTTGACTGTCTGGAATTACTAATACTGAACTTTATAGTTAATTTTACAAATAAAATCTGATTAGTCTAAAGAGGTCAAATAATCTCATACACAAGGAGGAAGGAGTATTCTAAAACTTGTTTATTGTTCTAATCCCTGTTATGTCTCAGATTAATTGAAAATTAATTCTGCTTTGCTTTTGCTATTGTTCACACAGCACTAAGAGAACACCAGACAGTTTACAAATGCTGAAGGCTGACTTAAGTAATTGAAATATGAACACATGACCTTTATATGAGGGATGGAAGCTGAGCACTCTTTAATTATGTTCTCTGACTGGTCCCAGGCTGTAACTTCTGCTAAAATGAATAGCATTAGAGATACAAAAAGCATGCTTTGTGCAGCACTGGCACCAGAGGAAGGCAGGCAGATTCAGGTCCACAATAGCTGTCCTGTTCCTACAGGACAGATGGTGTCTTCACCAGCAAAATGCTTAAATACCATCAATTCCTTGCATGTGCCTTTGCTCTGTTACAGCCCTATAAGATCACACAAATGCATCACTCAGATTACCTCACCTGATGGACTCTTTGAAAGAGTTTATTTATTGCAACCCTACAAGGGCACTATGAACCTTCAGGCGAGGGCACTCTTAGGGCATTGCTGTGAGTGCTGGATGTAATGGAGGGATTGGAATGCCTGGAGCTGCAGTTGGCAATGCCACCTGAGAGCCTCTGGGTAAGGACTGAGGGACAAAAAAATGAAGGGGCTGTCACTGTGGGAAGCTGCTCTTGGCTGCCCAGTCAGGATGACAACACCAAGGAATTATTCTTTACAGAACCAAGGAACACCTCCAAATCAACACCCTTGTCCTTGTCACCTGGCTGGGTGTTAACTGGGAACACCACACAGCTCATACAAACAGGTCCAGGGGATTCCTAAAACACCTGGGCAACTTCTTGGTACAGGGGCTCAGGGAGCCAACTGGCAGAGGTGCCCTCTGGGATTTGTTCCCAGAGAGGCTCTCGTGGGTGAAGTGGCCATTGGTGACTGTCTTGGCCACAGCGATGGTGCAGCTGTTGAGTTTCCCGTCTCTGGTGGTTCTCCTGCTCCTGTCTTGCTCCCAGGATGGACCAGGCACAAGCAAGCACGGCTGGAAAACCAGCATCTTTTATTAATGTTCAACCTGCCTGTGCTGGAAGCACCTTTACCCAGTCAGAGCTGATTTCAGCACACTTGCTGAGCTGCCTTTATGAGTTTGTTCCTTATCTTGGGAGTTCTGCCAAATGTCCTGACACCTGACCATCCAGGCCAGCCCATGCTGCTCCCTCAGGGAGCTGTGCAGGCTCCAGGTCAGCTCCCATCTCCAGGGCCCGGCCTGGTGCTGGCAGTGAGCACTAATCCTCCGGCCGTCCCGCCATGCAGGGGATCCGGAACAGCCGGCGCAGAGCCTGGAGCACCCGCCTGGAGCGGGAGGGACGTTTCCTGGGGACCTGGTTCTCTGTCCCTGCCTCTGGCACCCGCTCTCCAGAGCCAGGAGAAGCTGCTGCCTGTGCTGACCCCTTGGGAGCAGGGTGAGAGTTCTGCAGGAGCTGTGGGTACTTGGGGTTGACCCAGATGGTGCAGATGGTGATGCATTCATAGTTCTCCTGCGACAGCTCTTGGTCTCTGTCATCTCCCTCTTCGGACAACTCTATGTCTTCGCTGACTTCCCCCTGGGACAGCTCTGGGTCTCCTCTGACTTCGCACCAGGACAGCTCCTGGTCAGTGGAGTCTTCCCATCGGCAAAGAACTTTATCACTGTCATCTTCTGGATCTGCTTGGCATAGCTCTTCCTCTTTCCACTGGGACAGATCTTGGACACCCTTTTTTCCCCACTGGGACAGCTTCTGGTCCAAGGAGTATTTCCACTCATTCTCCTCCTCAGCCAAGGCCCACTGCTCAGTCTGTGGCATGGGCAGTGCAGCCCTCCATGGTGTCCTTGTCCACTCCCCTCTGAGGGCCTCCAACCAGTGAGGCAAAGGGCTGACGGGACAACAGGGACTGTGTGGGGCAGGGCCCGGGCTCTCTGCCCCTGCTGCCTTCACCTGCTCCCAGGAGGCAGGAGAAGCTGCTGCCTGTGCTGACCCCTGGGGAGCAGGGTAAGGGTTCTGCAGGAGCTCTGGATACAAGGGGTTGATCCAGATGGTGTGGTTTGGGATGTGTTCCCACTTCTCCTGTGACAGTTCTTTGTCACTGTCATCTCCCTTATGGAACAACTCCGGGTCCACTCTGAATTCCCCTTCGAACAGCTCTTGCTCCCTGGAGTCTTCCCATTGGCAAAGCACTTTGTCACTGTTAAACTCTTCTTGGGACAGCTCTTTGTCTCTCTTGCCTTCCCACTGGGACAGCTCTTGTCTTCTTTTTTCTTCCCACTGGGACAGTTCTTGGTATATCTCAAATTCCTTTTGGGACAATGCTTGGTATTTCTCATCTTCCCATGGGGACAATTCTTGGTATTTCTCATCTTCCCATTGGTACAGTTGTTGGACTGTCTCACCTTTCCTTTGGTACAGCCTTTGGAGACTCTCATTGCCCCATTGGGGACTCTCACTTCCCCATTGGGAAGGCTCCTGCTGTGTCTCATATTCCCACTGGTACAACTTTTGGATACTCTTATCCTTCCCTTGTGACAAATCTTGGTATCTCACACCTCCCAACAGGGAAGGCTCCTGGCATCTCTCATATTCCCATCGGTACAGCTTTTCATAATTCTCACCTTCCCAGTGTGGCAAATTTTGGTATCTCACATGTCTCCATTGGGAAGGCTCCTGGTGTCTCTCATATTCCCATGGGTACAGCTTTTGGAGACTCCCATGTCCCCACTGGGACAGCTCTTGGTCCAAGGAGTATTTCCGCTCTTCCTCCTCCTTGGCGAAGGCCCACTGCTCAGTCTGTGGCCTTGGCAGCTCTGCCCCCCCCACCGCCCCCTCCCACCCCTCCCTGAGGGCTTCCCGACAGCGAGGTGAGGGGCTGGGGGGGCAGCAGGGGCTGTGTGGGGCAGGGCCCAGGCTCTCTGGCCCTGCTGCCTTCACCCGCTCCCACACGGGCAGGACTCCTGCCCTGGCCCTCATGTGGCGCCTCATCCATGGGTTCGGCAGCCCCTGGGTGGGTTGGGAGTTCGGGTTCGCCCTCTCCTTGAACATCTCCATCATCCTCTCCCTCAGAGGCTCCCAGGGAGCTGCTGCCTCCTGAGTGAGGTGCTCTTTGCAGAGGGGGCACCCCAGGGCTCTGCACCCCTTCAGTGTCCCCCACCCCCGGTGTCACAGTGGCCTCTGGGCACGACGTGGCCCCCGCGCCACAAAGGGCCTGGAACACGGTGCCGTCACAAAGGGCCACCCCTGGCACCCCAACAACCATGGAACTGGCTGGAACCACCTGGAACTGGTTGGATCCACCTGGAACTGGTTGGATCCACCTG